ACTTTGAAACTGTAATATCTCAGTAAATGCTTTTTCAATTCAATCGAAATAAGCCTCATTTGAATCACTACATTTTTGCAAATGTAACACAAGTCGATTGATTCAGTCAGCATGAAACTTAAGTGCTCGGGATTCGATGGATTAGACGAAGGTCGTTTTTGCCTGGTCCTGATTGGCGGAGGTTCTACCGGTGAGGAAGTTATTGAAGTGCCTGAAAAGATGGTAGTCAGTTGGCGAGAGGTCTGGGGTGTATGGCACGCTCCATTCATTTAATTTTCGGACAGTGATTTGTGCGGACGGGCGTTGGCCAGTGCCTGCTGCTGACGCAATTTTTGGTAAATTCCATCGATTTCCTCACAATAGGACTTTGCTGTGATGGTTTGGTCCGGTTGCAGAAAGTTATAGTGAATCACATCAACCGTTGACCACCACGCAATAACCGTGGACTTTTTGATGGGTTTTCTTCTTTGAAACGTGCCTGGCTGTGTTCAACCGTTGTTCTGAATATTCTCTGTGGTCTTAGATCTTAGAGGATCAACTTTTTATTTGATTGCGTAAATCATGATTTGCTATACGGCGTAAGAGGTATAGCCCTAGCTCTTTTTGGCTCGTATCTTAAAGATAGAAGACAGTCAGAGTGCTTCAATGGTATCGCGTCAGAAACAGTAGCAATGAAATATGGGGTACCGCAGGGCTCTGTTCAGGGGCCCCTCCTATTTATCATTTACGTAAATGACTTATTTTATCATTTAGTCGATTCAACCTGTATCATGTTCGCAGATGACATCTCTATCTTTCATCAAAATATAAACCAGAAAACAATAAATGAAGCTACTGAAAAAAATGGCGAATGTTGGTTTGCAGCAAACAGTTTGAAACTAAACGCTAGCAAAACAAATCATATGACATTTTCTTCACAGGCAACAAGTACCAATGAACATACAAAACTTTCAGGAATTTTTCTAGATCCCTCTCTGAATTGGAAGTTTCACATCGAGAGGCTCTGCTCCAAACTTTCAAACTCCATTTTATTCTGAGACAAATGAAAAATATAATAAGCTCTGACACACTAATGAATATCTACTATGCTTTTTTTCACTCTCATATTTCTTATGGGGTAATTTTATGAGGTAATGCATCGGACTCTGTAAAAGTATTTAGGCTTCAAAAAAAACCATTCGAATTATTGCTAATATTGCCTTCAGAGACCATTGTAAACCTTTGTTCCAGAAATTCAAAGTCATGACACTACCTGTTCTTTATATTTTCCATCAAGTACTAGAACTCCATAGTAGAAAAAATAAACTAAGTATAAATTGAGACTTTCATGAATATAACACTTCTTCGTATCTTTCACGATAATCCTATGATGTAGGGAAGTGCAAGCACTGGTTGTGCGGCTTCTTTTCCTTTTGGGGCTCCTGCTGTCTTTTAGCCAAAATCTGTTCCACCATCGCTATTGAGTAGCCATTTCGTTGAAGATCATTTTTGATGATGTTTAGTTCCTTCTCGAGACCTTCCTTCGTATTACAAAGTCCGAAAGCACGGTCCAATGGGGTTTTGATGATTCCTCTTTTAGTCGATTGATGGTGGTTGGATTTGTGGTTCAGATACTGTCCCGTGTGAGTGGGTTTTCGGTTTATAGGTTTCTTTTTCGTAGTTCCGTACAGCAGTGCGTTTGAGGGATTGTGTAGTATGTTCTGAGGGTGAAGCATTTTGGTAATACTCCTTAATGTAGATGTTTCAGCTGTTTCGAGATTATTTACTGCAGGATTACGACATTTTTCGAGATTTTTGACATTTCCAATATGAAACATATTGGAAAGGTTATAAGCCGGAAGTGAGCTGACGCCCAGTTTTTCCGCCATCCCAAGCACTGTTTGTGCTGGGTCAGTCTCCACTCGGGTCCTCAAATACTCGTCCTGGATCACTGTAGGTCGACCACTTCGGAGCCCATCTTTGAGTCTTATGCGTTGCTACAATTTTTAATAAATCAGGGACGTGTACAAGCGAGCAAATGCCCCCTTACAGGGAATATATGGGAAGCGGAAAGGTTCTCATGACGAGAATGAATTGTTTTTTAATAAGTCAGCATCATATACGTCGACTGTTCAAAAAATAAGGGGAATGTTCAAATTTCGCGGGCTATCAGCATTTTTTAAAATTTTGGTACACTTGTCTTGAACAAATGTTAACAGTTTCAGATATTCAGTATGTCAAGTCTGTTGGTGAGAGGCATAAAAGTTGGAAATATTTTGCGCGATCGGCGGTTTTCTGCTATCGAAAAAATGGATTGTTGCAGTTTAATTCGGCAGAGTATAATTAAATTTATTTTTTTTCCATTTCAGAATTTGAAAATGCTGAAACCCTTCTCATATCAGAAGTTCATATGTTACTAGAACATAGGAAAGACCAAAATGAATCTGCAGAAGATGAACAGGAGTTTTCTGAAGTATTCATGAAGACCCTGACATATACAGACCGATTCAGGAAATTCAAAAATAAGGAAACTATTTCCGCAGTGAGAAAGTGAGTATTTGTATATTGGTAAAAATTGAAAAAATACCATGCCTACAGCTGCTTGGTATTCATCTTATCATTATTTAGTTGGGCTTATACTGTTGAATATTTCCTTGAGGCATAGAAACGGTGAATTAGTTCAAGGCTAGCCACTCTTCACAAAGTTGTACAGCGATCAATCAACGCGACCTATTTAAACGTTTTGGATTAACTCATATCTGAGAATGAACCGAAAGAAACCACTCCGAAAGTCATAAATATTGTTGAAAATCATTCATCACAATTGTTTGATAAGGAAGAAATCAACCTTTTGAACAACGGTTTGAAATTTGGCATCTCGCCTTCCGAGAAAGTTCTTGAGGATATCGTTGCTAGTGTTGAAAGTTCGATTCAATATATGCCCGATTCCTCGAAGGGACTAGTTCGAGAAAAGGTCAGGAATCAAATCTCCAAGAACAAGATAACAGATAAACGGAAGCATTCAATAAACAACAATAAAAACCAAAAGAAACTTAT